TAATGTTAGTGTTTTTTTTTTTCTTTTTTTTTTCTTTTAACAGTTACATGATGTTTTGTAAAGTCAACGCGATCACTAGACTATTTTCTCAATCAATTAGGTGTTAATTACAGGACTAAATTTCTAATTTTTCCCCGTAAAACACAACCCTTGAGTTTTCTTCTTCCTTCCAAATGTGCAGGCCGTCCGGGTATGTTTAACATGAGGGATAGAGCTAAGTGGGATGCTTGGAAAGCCGTTGAAGGTAAATTGATTTGTATTTCAAGACTAGAAAAATTTTGCAGCTTATTTAGCAGGAATAAAATTGATAATCCGAGCCGCATTCAATTCATTACACGTTTAATTTCGTACGACTTTCATGACAGGAAAATCACAGGAGACTGCAATGAGTGATTACATCACTAAGGTGAAACAGTTGCTGGAAGAAGCTGGGGTTTCTTGCTGATTAAATCTTTGAAAAAATTATTTGTAATCACTCTGTGATGAAATTAATTGCTATATTTATCGTATATGGTTGAGAACAATGATGTAAACCGTTATATGCTTCTTCGATCTTGCACTCTGTGGTTTAATTCTTGGAATAAAACAAACCGATTCGTTTATGGCCAGTGTCTCGGTTTTTTCTATCTGTTTAATGTTGTCTAGATTGTAGGATTGAGTCGAGTTTTCTATTGTATAGCAAATTACAGTTTCATATACAAATGGAAGACAATTTTGTGGCATGAAAAACAAAAATCTTTATACTATTTTACCCTGTATGAGCACAAAGTGATCCTCATTACCTAAACTCAGAGCCACCAAAAATTTTTTGGCTATGTACAAGGGAAAAAAGGACCACTAGCCTTAAAATTTCACTATCACAACATGGATAACTGTTGAAAGCTTCAATGCAAAATGGTCTATAAAACTTTTATTGATGCCTGAAATTCTTATCATTGATACTTCAAAGATCACATATGCCAGTGGTGACCACAGACAGGCTTTTTTTTTTTTTTTAATTTTTTTTTTTATAATCTATATTTCCTCTTAGAAACTGTGCAGTGTTAATAAGTGTCCAAAAAGAGATGGCCACCATAGTTAAAAAGTTAAAACACATCCATGTGAGTTTGTACTTGCACCAAATTTGATCCTTTTGAGCNTGGGACTGTACATTTTCTTGATTTCCTACATTACCGTACAGTTTGATAAAAAATTAAAATAAATAAATAAATAAATAAAAATTACTGCACAAAGGGATACCTCGAGACATAATATTCTCTCGCACGAGAGGCACCATCTCGAGCCAAAAGCCCCTCGAGGTCACCTATAATCCTGGCAAGCCATATTTCCAAATTCCTTTGAATTTCCTTGAAATTGTTCCGGATCGAGTCGAATGACCGTTTTGTGGCCAATTGGGCCGGGCCTTCGAGGTAGCTCTTGCCCGTTTCTGTCTGAAGGCCCAACAGCTTTTGGTTGGTCTCGGATGCACGCTGCTGCAGACGAAAGGCTTCGAGCAGGAATTCAGTTTGCATTTGTGTTCGAAACTCTGAGCTGAGGCTCGTTTCGCATGGATCGCTTGCTTGCTAATAAGTCAAAAAAAAAATGACAATTTCAGAAAACTATATATACTCAAGAAGGATTTCATGGACAGATAGGTTCAAGATATAGAAAAAGAAAAACTATTATAGCTCAAGCTTTTTTTTTTCTTCAAAACCAGAAAGGAAAAAAAGTATCCCAATTAGTATGAAATACATCACAATGGTTTTCAAACAATGAAATAGTTACCATTCTTTGGCAAAGATCGTCGATTTTTCCGGCTAATGCTTGATACCTCTTGGCCTGCTTTCGCATTTGTGATGGTACCTTAGAGAGATCTGCTTTTCCGATTCTTTCTAAATTCAGAAGTTCTTGCTCGAGCACTTTTAACTTAGAAGAGACTCCGGTGGAGTCACCATTGACTTTCCAAGGGGATTCCCTTCTGAGAAAAATATAGAATCGAACCAAAAAATAAAATTTATGGCCTTTTTGAATTAACTTTGGATGTTTAATCACTACATATAGATAAGTGATATTTATCGATATTATACCTGGACACAAAATGCTTCATATTGTAAAGTGATTCAATCGATTCGTAATGCATGTCCTGCAACAGAAAATCATAATGATGTTTTATCAGCAAATCCAAAAGAAACTAATAAAGATAATAATTAGGATGCACCGTACAAGAGACAAATTTTTAAATTTGAATGACTGCTAACACCACAATCTTGTCTGAAAGATAAGCTTCATTACTACAAAATGACAGTCTCAGTTTAAAATTTAATGAAAGAACAACAGACAGGCTACAAAATTTCTACCCACTGGGATAGAAAAGTACAAACAATTGCAGAATACATCATTATCATATAAAGATCTCAAATTTATTGGTCCCAATAGGATTTTTCACAAACATATCCAACTTATATCTCTACATTTGTGGCTGAAACGAGTATTCATTCTTCTGTGATAAATTAACACATTGAGCAATCAATATACATAACTCAGCATATCAATACAAACTTCACCTACGCTCAAAATAATACAATTAAGAACGAATTTAAGTGAGAATAACCTCTATCAACCTAGGAGAAACTACAAAAACTAGGGAACTGATTTTAAACAATGTACAGACCCATAAATTAAAAAAAAGAAAAAAAAAAGAAAAAAAAAACACTGAATAACATCTTGATACGCAGTTTTACTCCAAACAAATTTCCTTCATAGGGTGTCACTACTTAGCATAATCTCCTTTACCTCACACTTTAAATTTCAAGCTCAAGAATCAACAGTTCCAACAAATAGAAAACTATACATAAACAAAACTACCATAATTGCAAAAGAACAGCAAATATATCTTCAAATTCCTCAAGGTTTATGCACATGAATCTTGCTAAACCCTTTTCCAACAAATAGAATCTTGGTAGGTTTCAAGCTCAAAAATCAAAAGTTCCAACAATTAGAAAACTATACACAAAACAAAACTAACATACTTACAAAAGAACAACAAAGATATCTCCAAATTCCTCAAGGTTTATGCACATGAATCTTAGTAAATCCCTTTTCCCATCAAACATAACACCACATAATTTCCTAAAAATTTCACTTGCTCGTCAAATAGATACAACAAAAAAGAATCATAAATCAAGGCACACAAAATTTCACCTGCCAAAGGCTTGCTTTCTCAGACCAATACTTCGAATCTGTGACAGAACTCAGGTAATCCGAACTGAAACCCCCACCGTCACAATTAGCCTGACCGTACCTCACCTCCACGCCACCGTACCTCTCCCCGCCACCGCCGCCGTCGCCACCCTCCGCCGCTACTTCGCAACCACCTCTGCTCATGAAATTCAACATCTCGTCCCTCTCGCCGACCTCCCTCCTCAAATCCTCGACCCTCGCCTTCAAATCGGCCTCCACGCCCTCAAATTCCTCGATTTTCCCCTTCAGATATGCAATCTCCTCGCTGCACTCGTCGATCTGGAGTAGCAGCCGCTTCTCCTCCTGCTGCCACGAGTGCCGGTGGCTCGCGAAGATCTCGACAACCCTAGCGTTGGCCTTCGAGTCCTCCTTCCGCCGCGAGAGCAGCTCGCCCAGCTGCTCCTCCGCCCGCATGAGCTTCGAGGCCAGGGCTTTGTTCTTGGCCTGGAGGCTCGAGATTAGTGCGATTGAGCTTCTGGGCAGGGACCCGAGGAAGAATGCGAAGCTGAGGCCGAGGTACGAGGACAGCAGCTTCTGATAATGATGGTCATCGTCGTTGTAAATGTGAAGTTTCTGTTCTTGGCCGTCAAGGCTTCGTTTTTCTTCGTCTTTTTGAGCTGCCATTGTTATGGGTGTGAAGCTTTTTTCTCTCTCTGATTGGAGAAGAAAGTCTGTGGATTTTGGAGGTGCCCTTTTTTGTGGGATGAGGTTTTTTTGAGCAGTTGGTTTATAAAGTGCGTTCCTTTTTTTATCTACTGATGATTTGCAGGTTGCTATGGTGGATTTGTGTGTACTTTCGGTTTTTGGGTGAGGCTTTTTGGCCTTTTCTCGAAGTGTGTCGACTATTTTTTTATGCTGTCTTTTTGTTTACCTTTTTCAAAATGAGTTTCATAGATGGGGTGTCCTTTGGTTTTATAGCAGTTCTGGACTGATAAGTCTGATATACCTTTTTTTGTATAAACATGAATATTTTTATTAAAAGAAATTATACTATAAAAAGTGATATATATAGAAATATATATTTTTATCAACCATAAGAGTGTTGTAGATAGTCTAACGGATAGACATTTATATTTTTTCAATAGAAATGTATATTTTATTATTTTTATATATATGTGACTTATTTAAAAAAAAAAAACAACATAAACAAAAACAAAAGTATGACATTTCTCAATATAAATATTTATTTTTTTACAAATTATGACAAGTTAGACTTGCATTTCGCCTGCTTCACATAGAAATTTATATTTACTAAAATAATATAAGAATCGACTAGCATGACAATTAAGCTGGAATATATTTATAAAAAAAAAGTGTTTGTTTTATAGTGAAAAAATGAGATTTGCATTTGACAATTGGATAAAGCTAGTGATTTAAATCTAATTTTTACACTTCACAAGATTTTATTCATCCATGCAAATTGCCCAATATGTAGGTATACTCTTTGTTAGAGTTATGCAACAATGACTAAATTTCTGAGTGTTTCTTGATTAAAAACATGATTAAATATGTTATATTTAATATTTCACAATATAAACATATATTTATGTTTATAAAGTACAATGGGTAGCTCCAGGGCCGTCTCCAACATTTTTTGGGCCCAGAGCGAAAAATAAAATTAGGCCCCCCTAATTATAATATTGAATAATATATTTTTAATATTTTATTAATAAAATACAAATATTTAACGATACAACTAAAACAAGATGTCCTCGTACCCACAAAATACAACAAAAACAGGATTAATGTTCTAACATGAATGTCATTTAATATATTATTATATTTTTTATTTATATTATTATATATATATATAATATTTTAATATTTATATATGGGGCCCCAATTAATTGGGGGCCCTGTGCAGTTGCTCACCCTGCTCCCCCCAAAAGCCGGCTCTGGGTAGCTCCAATTAAATGTTTGTTTTGATTAAGAACATCATCAGACTCAACATGGTGCGTGTAAACTGGCTAGACAAACCTTTTTGCTGTCATGGTGGATATTTTTACGTTTTTAATTAAAATAAATCTAAAAGTGGCTAAAAAATATAAAAACATTTAAAGAAATATTACATAGGTAGGAACGTAATTTGCGGAAAACGTAGGGGCTGAAGTGCAAAATATTCTGAAGTACCACGAGGATGTTGATTTAACATCAACGGTCACCTTTTCATTAGTAATTTCGATCGATAGAAGATTCAGATGCAAAACAGTAGTTTAGGCTTCTAACATGCTTTTGGCAGCTCTTAATTGCAACAATAATAAATCTTTTAGCAAATAGTTGACTTTCATTATTATAGCTTTTGTCATCTAAAGCTCAAATTTCTACATGCTTAGTTGCTTACATGAATCCAAGCTGCTAAATCAAATAATAAACACATACATGCACCAATGTATATGCGTGCGTAATGCGTACCATGAAATTTGATGGTCTAAATTGAAAATTTAGTCATGATTATGAATGTAGTAATTTAGATTTCATTGGAGTGATATATAGAAATTTAAGTTTTATAATTTAAAATTTTACTGTAATTTTAATTTGGAGAATATATAGCATTTTTTATGTTTTGTAATTTAAAATAATTTTGCTGCAGTTTCAATCATTTGGCCGTCAAAACTCTCAATATACATATTTGGGATGAATTTTGATTACCAATTTAAGTCCTCTAGTTTAAAATTTTATTACAATTTCAATCATTTTGACCGCAAAAATTGAATTAAAGTTTTGTTGTAATTTCAGTCATTCTCGACCAATTTAAAACTTGTAATTTCAGTCTTTTTTATCGTCAAACTTGTATTTTGACTGTCAAAAGAACTGAAATTGTAACAAAGTTTTAACTTACATGATTTAAATTGTTATATGTCATTTCAGTAGGACTTAAATTGTTACGTTCATAATCTATTAAGACCAAAATTGCAATGTAACCGAATTTGACGCCTTCAAAAACACTGTCAAGTCGAAATTTTCCCGTACAATATATAAAGTGAGACATCTAACTATAATGTATATATAACAACTTAATGTCCATAAATAACACAGATTTTCTGAATAAATATATAGATCAGTCATGAATATTGTATTTATTAGGAATCTAAATATGTATGTAATCCCTAAATTATGCATTTTTTCTTCAATCATTGTTTTGTTAAGGCTAGCATAGCCAACTACCACGGTACTGTATAGTGCCTACTTGAACCTGTTCTAACGGTCAATATTTAAAACAACAACACGACTATTAATGCAGTTAATAAGTTCTCATCAAATTCAAGCCGACGTTAAAGACTTGAGAGTGGGATAAATTTTGTCTCATCCGAAAATAGAAATTGAAAGTGAAAAATGTTATTTTTGTGAAAAAATAAGGTAACTTTGAAGACATAAATATTTGTTGTTCAATAATATATAATAATGATTTATTTTTATCTTTTAACTCAGTGGAATTGTAAAGGAAAAGGTGAAATGAGATAAATTTTTTTCCATTTCCAAGTACAATGAGATAAATCATTAAATCTTATCCCACCAAATAAAATAAAAAAATTTCCACAGCACAAGCACACATACATTGGTAACCAAGTACCAAAATAGCGTTACTTTCAAATGCGAGGGACTAGAAACTAGCACCTTTCCGCAAACAAAACACGCTTCTTCCAATTAATAACAAGGTCTGAGCTGAATACATTTTCTTAACAGATAATGGATACATTTATGTACAGCTAAAATGAATAATATACTCGTGCGTGGTGGCTTAATTTGGACCGAGTGAATCCAAACAAATTCGGGTTGTCTCCAAAATTTTCTTCATATCCTTATAGGTGTTTCCATGTACAGCCTTCTGTACATTTTTGTCGAACATGCCAAAATCATCTTCACCTGGATATATGCATATCGACTAGCTTTTTTTCAAGTCGATAATCATTTTAACTCTAATAAGTCTTTTTGGTGTGGGACTTTTTCACTATCGATCAAGAAGCGGTTTTCTGATTACGAGAGTTGAGTTTCGCACGAAGGGCATCGACCCCATCTTTACGTGCAGGGGAATTAGCAGCAACTTGTTGTTCCTTGAGAGCTTCCTTTTCCAATTTCTTCTTTTCAGCATCAGCCTGCTGCTCATTTTCGTCGTGAGCCTTGTTAAACATCTTAGTGAAGACTACTAATGTTTGTGTCACTGCACATGAAAGGGAACCGAAAGACAAAACGTTCGCAACATAAGAAACTTCATACACAAAAAGTAATGAAGACACACTTCTTATACCCAATGATTCAGTTTAATAACAAAGTATCCATCTCTAAGTTCCAATATATTTTTATATCATTAGTATTTTACTTGATTTCACTTTGATTGCGAACAAGGTTGAAATAAGAAACGATTAAGACAAACTTTAGACAGAAAATAATAATAAAAAAATATATTATATTAGCACACCTTGCTCAAAGGGACATCTTGCTGGATCTTCACCAAAATACTGTGAAAGTGAGTCTGCATTTCTTCCCTGCATATTACGTTTTTTAAAGAAATTACCCACGAGCCGATAATCGGAATAAACAAAAGAAAGATTTATTTATTTTTTCAAGTGGCAGCATTAGTAACAGTTAGATCTTACCACTTCCGTGTAAAGGGTGATAAGCGACCTCACTTCAGCCTCAGCAGTGTGGAGGAAACTTTTCAAGACCTGTTAAAATCCAGTTCCGGAATGAATAGAAAGTTCATATGAAATGGAAGTATGGAATAAAACTCATGTAGCAATCCTCCTCAAGACTTTTGTGTGTGTGTGAATTATATTGGAATCCCTGAGCTTAGGTCTCATTATAGACACCTCTTATATGTGGCGCAAAATTCGGGGTCTCAGACCTCAAATTTAGGAAGTTCTTGAAGTTACCTTCCGAAAGCCTGAGGACACAGCACCATCATTCTCTGCTGCAGTGAGTTCTTGCTCAACCTTTTCAAGGCCTTTGCTAACTGCTTGCATTTCTTCAGCCAAAGATTTCAGTTGTATCTAAAAGACACATAGGATGAACAAGTACCACAAAGGTTAATATACTTTATGATACTAATTCCAATTTTGGGAATTAAAACCTTGCATTATGGCATATAAGACAACCTTAGAGGCTGGTTCTAAATGTATGAGGTCCTTAGTGAAGTCTAGCAACTCTGGCATTTTCTCAGCTAGAATCTGAAACATAAACAGAATTAACACAAGCACAGTTAGCATTTCTCACTCACATATTTTTAACCATCATCATTATCAATCAATATGGTAATCATTTTATATCAAATCAACTTGATCATTACATTTTATTTTATACCCATACAGAATCTCAAAAATGTTTTATTCTTTCTCCAATTTCTTCCAAAGTTTCCATCTCTCTTGTCCAGGGAGAAATTTTTTTCGGAAAGTTTCTATATCCAACCCAGCACCGTGTCACTGACAACCGAGGATTATAAAACTAAAGTGAATGGGAACACCAGCACAAGTTTAAGTTCACCTTACAAAGGTAATGCATTAAGGTCATCTTGTTGTTTCTTGCACGAGTATCAGAAAGTTTGAGGAGACTATCCAACTTAAATCCCACGGCAGACCCTGTAAAGCAATCAATCAGAGAACAAGTACAAATTCAAAATTTTACAATTAGAACAGAATGGGAAACATTAGAAGACATTATTTGTCCCGTACCTCGAGCAGTGCCCTGATTTAATGCATTTCCCAGAGTAAGAATTGTCTGCATAATTTGCCGCAATTTTGATGACTCCTTAACCTACCACAATTTACAAACAAGAAAGATATAGTTGAGAACGCCCGATAGGTAAAAATATTACTCCCAATAAAAAAAGTACCTCTTGAGAAGCATCGTTAATTGTGTTCAGGTTCCGCTTAAGATCTTCAACCTGATGCACAAAAGCTATTTAGTGAACAACGTCTTGATTAAAATATAACCATGTTCAAGAAGAGCATAAAAGATATGGACCTGGCTGGCAAAAGTTATTGTAAAGGCAAATACTCTCAATTTGGATTCGACTCGAGGGACTTTCATAAGTTCCAAGAAAAACTGAAATATTCAGAAGCACAAACGTCAGTAATATAATTGATGTAGCAGTTTTTCCTCAATTTCATCACCATAAATATCACAAACCTGTTCACACTTTCCTAGCATCTCCTTGTCGCCATTGTAGTTCTAAAGAAAAAACAAACGTAACGTGAGATAGAGAATTCCGTGTTCAGAAATATTATAGCATTTTGGCAATTAGAAAAGATACTAGGAAATAAAAGAGTATGTTCCACCTAACGTGTACTCTTGATAATGATGTAAAATTTGGTCCAAAGAATCAAAGGATTGCTTATCATGGGAATATAGGAACATTGATATCTAAAAGGATAATATTAATTCAAGAACTCAGGTTCAAACTCAAAATGCAATTTACCTCGTTTGCGCAGTCATGAATTTATCCTCATGAACAAAGAGTACCTTCTGAATTTCACATCTCAAAATTCATGTAGTTAAAAATATACCAACTACGACTTTTGGGACAACAATGATACTTGATTGCAGTGTTGATATGCAAACATCAGATGGGAAAGAAAAACTACAAATGATTTATAAGCAAGCTTTGGCAAACATGAATAGGCGAACAAAAACAAGAGAGACGAGGCCATTTGGTGGGGCGGGGCAGGTGGTAGGGTGGTAGTGGTTACCTTCAGTGTTTCCATCTCTTCTTTAGTAGGGCAGAATTTTATAAGATTCTCAACTTGATCAATGTCCAGCGCAGAAGAATCCAAAGCCAAGATGGCACTCTAAGTATCAAGAACGAAGTAGTGTAAGAATTAGAATGGAGTAATGGACTGGCGTATACCAATCTAAACAATTAAAGAAAAAATGGTAATATCATAGTGGACAAATTCGGAAGTAGTTGCAGTGCCTCCACTCTGACTGTATGTTGTGTAGAAAAGCACAATGTCAATGTATAGAACTTACAATCATATCTGGTAGGGGAATCTTGATTTTGGTGAGCATAATTTCACAATTATAGGCTCTGCGCAAATCAATCTGAGAGAAGATAACACCAGATAGAAACCATAAGAACTTTACAATGTAATATTCCATAATAAAGACTATTACATTCATAAACAAAAAATGTTGTTCAAGATATCCTAAATTAATTCACTGGAAAATTAAAATGTAGAGACCCTCTCCTCTACTGAGATTTGCTATCCATCAGACATATTCCTTTACTTCTTTTTTTCTCCTTTAACACTCTTTATTAGCTAAATTCCCTTTCTAATTATATTAAATGACCAAAAGTATTATGGTGTCCTTGTAACCTTGTGTTAGACAAGGATGCTGTATTTGAAAATGACACTTGAAATATTTTCTATTTTAGCATCAACAACTAATAGGTTTAGGTTGTCAATCTTTATTTGAGATAAACCCATGCGAAATCCATACCAGAAAATTGCATGCAAACTGTTGGAAAATTTACATTAGTAAGTCAAAATAGACTTGCATAAATCATGCAGAAGCAAATATATATGAAATAGCATCACTTGCCAATTGCACTTTCTCTGGCTTGTTAATTTTAGAACCACGGTGGCCCCCACCCTTATTTTTGCTATCTGATGCCGAAGCCACCGAGAAAAGACTCTCAAGCTCGGATATATCGATTTCAGGTGGCCTGCCAAAAGATCAGTAAATTGTTTGAATTAGAATATAGAAGCACATAGAAGTTAACTAAAGTGTTCGGAAATAATTAACAAAACCACATAGCACATAGAAGTTAGCTAAGATTTCCCCAGTTCAAATTACCAAACAGTCGATGATATGTCATACATATTCAGATACGACATTTACACCAGCAAGTTCAGATGCACCAACCTTGATTGACTTTCCTGTTTATGAGTGTCAGCCCACAAACTCCCTTGCATAGCTCGAGTGACTTTCACCCAATGCAATGGCTTCAGTGGTGTTTTCTTAGGGGGGATCGAAGAACCAGTTGAGCCTCTTCCTCGTGCTGAAGACAAACCTCTCCCTCTCCCAAGAGATGGAGGTGGAGGAACATGGGAGCCCTTACTACCAGGAGGTGCAGGCGGAGCAGGCCCCGATCCACGGCCAGGTGGCAGTGGGGGTGCAGCTGGTTTTGAACCAAGACCTGGTGGAAGTGGTGGTGGAGCAGGAGTCGCACCTCGTCCGGCAGGCGGTGGAGGCGGTGGTGGAGCAGGAGCTGCACCTCGTCCGGCAGGCGGTGGAGGCGGTGGTGGAGCAGGAGCCGCACCTCGTCCGGCAGGCGGTGGAGGCGGTGGTGGAGCAGGAGCTGCAC